TGGTTCAAGTCCAGAGACCTCCCTAATTATATTGGACACATGCTTGTCCACGATCTGGGGCTGTCTGGGGGTGCATCATGGTACCAGGACCCTGCTGGCAATGTTCCCTTCTCTCGGCCTCTCTCACTCATGGAAGAAATTTTAAAAAAAGAGAAAGAAGGAGCTGGCAGGTGGTGTGGTGGTTAAGGCACTGAACTCCCACATGGCCGACTATGGTTGGAGTCCCAGAAATGGTAGCTTGCTTTCTCACCTTTTCTCTCTCTCTCTCTGGTAAATAGAAAAAAGAAGAAAGAAAGAAAGAGAAAGAAAGATGAAAAGCAATAATGGACAAAATTAAATAAAATAATTATTTTTTTAAAAATTATTTTATTTATTATTTTTTCACATGAGTTTTGCCAGAGGAAGAGAGACAGAGAGAGGGAGAGGGAGAAAGCAAGCCACCAAGTTCAGGACTCGAACCATGGTCAGCCATGTGGGAATTCTAGCACCTTAACCACCATGGCACTTATTGGGTGCTTCTTTATTTATTTATTTATTTATTTATTTAATTTTTTTGGAGAGGTTTTTGCTATAGGGTACATGCGCTCTCCAGAAAGACAGAGAGAGACAGAAAGCGAGAAATCACCCCCCAGAGGGGATGGCCACGCCACAATCCCTTCTCCTCCATTCTCCTCTTGGGCATGCACGCACACACGCCCAGTGTGAATTTAAGCCACCAGGTCTGGGACTTGAACTGCAGTCGACTACATGGGAGTCCAGCAACATAGCCATTATGCCAACTGCTGGTCCCATAAAATAATTCTTTAAAAAGGAAAAAAAAGAAAGTGACTGTTGAACAAAGTGTGAGGCCTCAGGAAGATGAAAGAAAGGTACCAAGGCCTGTTGTGATGAACTGCTCCCGAGACCCGCCCAAGCCTTGCCCTCCATAACCCTCAGAGTCCATTGGGTCAGGGCTCGGTCTCTGCACAGCTCACTCGGCCCCATTGTTTCCCCTTGTGGAGGTGTAGTGTTCACTCCCACACCCCACCTCACTCTGGGATACAGCGTGAGCTCCTTGAGGACACAGGGACACACCCTGAGTGCTTGTACGTCACATCTCCTTAAACGCACAGCTCTGCTCAGTGACCATGAGCTCATCGGTCCAGTTATTTTATTTGTTACTATTATTTATTTTTAAATATTACCAGAGAGACAATGGGAGAGAGTGTCGCTGCCCGTGACGCTGCCGCGAACAAAGGACACACACCAAGCGGTTTCTTCCTTTCGTCCCTTTTCCCCTAAATAAATCATTATTTTGAGAGATTTTTTTGCTATAGGGCACGTGCGCTCACCAGACAGACAGAGAGAGACAGAGAGACAAAAAGTGAGAAATCAACCCCCAGGAGGATGGCGACGCCACAATCCCTTCTCCGTTCTCCTCTCAAGATCTTGGGCACGCATGCACACGCGCCCAGCGTGAGTTTTAAGCCACCGGGTCTGGGACGCGAACCGCAGTTGACTACATGGGAGTACAGCGACATAGCTATTACACTAACTGCTGGTCCCATAAATAAATAATTATTTTTTAAAAAATTCCATTTTAACCTCACCTCTTTGAAAAGTCTGCTGAGAGGCTGGCAGGTGGCATGGTGATTAAGGGCACTGGACTCCCACATGGCCAGATCTGGCGG